CCCCAAAACCCCAAAACCCCAAAACCCCAAAACCCCAAAACCCCTCAATATTTACTCGATGTTGATGAACATGTTAACAACTTTATAGAAGTTAATCAGATTCAGATGAAACAGAGCTTCTTCTACTACTACTGCTTGATTTCCTACTCCTATTGGATTTCTTGCTTCCTTTTGATTTTCTACTAGATCTATCACTTCCACTTGAGCTACTCCTGCCTCTAGGTTTGCTACTACTTCCAGATTTACTTCTCTTTGAATTATTTTTACTTGATCTGCTACTATTAGAAGAACTACTTCCAGAAGAGCTAGAGCTGCTTGAATCTGAATCTGAGTCTGAGCCAGAAGATAAATTCTGCAGCTCTTGATATTCTTTCAATTTCTGCTCCATCAATAACTTAGGAGCCTCCTTGAGCCATTCTCTAAGACCTACAGTGACAGCTCCAAGTCCTATCGAAGTAAAGAAATTGATGGAAAATCTTGCGTTTTTAGCACTATCTTTTGGGAATATCCCCTGGAGATGAGGTTGAACATTTTCTTGCTTCAGCCTTTCTTTAAAGAGTTCCATTCCCATGTTCTCTGAAAGTTCTTGGAATAAGATTTTCAAGAAAATTCTACTCGCTGCTGTAGTTTCATCTTCTGTCAAGATTACAACTCTGAGAATGCTCCAGTCGATTGTTTCTGTGTACATGAGGTGAGCATAAAATTTGGCTGAGTTTCTCAGCTTATTAGTATCAAGTCTATGAACAGTAGCATATTGTTTTTCAAATGACTCTTGGAATTTCTCTCAATAAACCTCATTGAGGAGACATAATCTTTCTCCTATATTTCCAAAGAATCTTAAGTAAGTTCTTTCTTGTGTACATCATTCTACTATCATGTTACACAATTCAATTTCTTGTCCTTCTCTAATGTTAAGTTTCATCAGCTTATGTACAACTTCTTCAAAATCAACAGAGGAGGCGATCACCAGATATATGGTCTTCCTCAAGTTCATCAGATCTTGTTCTGTGATATCCTCGATTTTGTCTTCTTCCTCGGACTCTGAGCTTTCTTCTTCATCATCAAGTTGCTCGATCCTTTTGTTGATCCTTTCTTCTTCCTCACCAAGGATTTCTTTCTGGATTTCTTCCCATTGCTTGTTGTTCTCAGTATAGTTAGATTCATACTGGAAGAAGTTCACCTTTTCTTCAGCATCAAATTCATCGGTAAGACTCACTTCGTGAGTGATCCTGTCCTCCTCTTCGATGAGGTCTAGCTCTGAGATCACACCCGGATGGTTCTTGAACCTGGATTTACGAGTGTTAAATAAGCTCTCAATGGTGTACTGGACCCTTCTATTACATTCTCCTTCGTGAAGGATCCCTTTGAACCTCTCAAAGATTGCGATTGAGCCTTGTGGAGTTATATCACCAAGGACTTGACCTCATTCTGTCATGAAGTCAGTAGCCATTTCAATAGAGTCTTCGGTTGGGTTTTCTAAAAATAGTGACAAAATTTCTAATGCTAGGACTTCATGAATCACTTGTTGGTTAACCAAGTGAGCTAGCATTCTAACAGCAGCAACACAGACAATCTTATTATTTCTTTTATAAGCTTTCTGAAACTGAATTATATATCTACTGATCAGTAACTTGACAACCTCTGGAAGCTTGGTATTGAGCACAGCAATCAATGCAGCATACACATGGGTAAAATTCGGTGAGGCCATTTGTGCTTTAAAAATTGCTTTAGTCAGCAATCCTCTACCTCTAATTAAATTTTCTTGGAACAACTCTAAGATAATGTTCTGAATATTTGAAACATTGACTTTGTTGATTAATCCGTTAATCGATTTCCTTAGATTCTCCCACATAAATCTTTGATGTTCCTTAGAATCAGGATCTTTGCTCTTCAGTTCATTAGCGATTTTCTCCATTTTCCAAGGTGGAACATAGACTCCACCAGCCCTGGTTGGAAGAGTTGGCTTCTTCTTTTCTACTATCTTCATCGAACCAATTTCATAATCTTCAGGTCTTTTGTCTTGGGGCTCTTCTATTTTCTCAAATTTAGGAGGATCTTCTTTTCTCCTGCTTTTATGTAGACTATCAGAGTGTCGATCCCTGTCACTTTTACTATGAGATTCATATTTCCTGCTTCTCCTTCTATCTCTTCTCTCATGGGATCTTTTTCTGCGGTGTCTCCGGTCTCTACTGTCACTATAACGGTCATATGAATCCTTTTCATACCTTGAGCGTCTTCTCGATCTCTTTGAGTGCTTATGCTTCCTCCTTCTGTGCCTAAAAATTGAATTTGAACAAAAATACCTTCTATCAGAGGAGCTGCTTGAGGAAGAGCTACTTCTAGAAGCTGGTTGCCTTTTAGAATCAATTTTCCTGTCATCTTTACTGGAAATACTCATTGATGAACTCAATTGCCCCTCTTCAGAACGACGATTTTCCTTTGAAGCTTCTACTTTCTCCATTTGAAATCTTTTACTATAAATATTCCAATAATTGGGGCCAACAAAGGGGTTTTGGGGTTTTGGGGTTTTGGGGTTTTGGGGTTTTGGGG